ACTTTCCTTGAAATTCATTTTTTTTTTCATTCATTTTCCACTATTGAAATCAAACGGACCCTTAGTGTTCACTGGTTGAAAGTAAATGCTTTGGCCCTATTGAAGCTAACTTCATCTCTTATGCAAGCAAACATCTCTATTACACTGCCATCGGGGTACATCCCAGTTGGTAAAGGATGGACATTGTTGGGTTTACAACCTCAAGGTGGGGAGTTCGATTTCTGGATGGAGCAGATGAGTGATGTAATACTCAATTTGAGTGGAGCAGCTTGGTGATGTAATATACATGGAGGAAGGCTCCCTTGAAGTCAGGAGTATAAATGGTGCACGGACCCTAGTCAATTTGGGCATATCCAGTGGTTAACTTCCACCCATCACTGAGGGGTCGGGGATGGGTGATCCAAGACATAGTCTGGTGTAAGTTGGGATACCTGAATATAAAAAAAAAACATCTCTATTACACTAATTTGAGCTGGCAAATGACTGTACATATGCTGGCTGGATCTATTATCTTGAAATAATTTGCTCATTTCTTTAATTCCTCCCTTGTTCTTCTAGCACTCATGTCTACCTCTTAAGTGTGCTGGAGGGTGCATGCGCGTTAGAAACTATTTGACAATAGTTAAGTGTCATGAATAGATATGTTTCCATGGTTGTCATAAATTTTCTAGACGGAAATTTGAAGAAATTCAAATTAATACATGGTTAGGCGTCTATTTGCTAAGGCTTTTGAAAAGTCAAAAGCAAGCTCTTCTGAGTGTAAAAAGTTATTATTTTTTAATATATTTATATAATTTTTCAGAATTGTAAGAAGAACTAGAGAAAATTGGCCTGCCTTGATATAGTTTTCTTAAGTGGCTCATCTATAATAAATCAAGATTACAACGTTCAAGTTTATGTCCAAAACTTGAATTCTCAACAAATTGGGAATACAACAATAATCAATCTCCTAGTGAAGTAAAGTTAGAATATATTTTTATTCATTCAACAACGTGACTTTGACCTGCTGCACTTAGACAAATGTTTATTACCATTGCTAAAGAATAACATATTCAATATGTAGGCATGGGTTCAGTGATTTTTTACCTAACAACTAAGATTTTCATTATATCCCCTACTCCCACCCCACCCCACCCCACCTTTTATTGAAATTAAGCAAAGGGGAAACAAGGGAATATGGAACATCGTAGTAAAGAACATCTTATATATAGCCACTTCATGGATCAAAGTGCTTTTGATTGACAGCAAATTTCACGCTCGATTGGCCTCGTTGCATCATTATGTCTAAACCAGATTGCCAGGCTTAAGACCACGAGTTTTTCTTTTCCAATTTTATTGTTTTCATTTATAATCCGCCTAGTATATATTTTAAGGCGGCAAATGATGATTGCGCGGTGTAGTGTTTTCTTGATATCTCTCTACATGTATGTTCAATAAACAATTTAAAAGTAGTTAGACTCCGAGCAATATCTGATTAATAATCAAGTTAAAACCGACTTTAATTTTTTGGAATTGTCAGAAGAACTTCTAGAGAAAATTGGCCTGCCCTGAGGTAATTTTCTCAAAAGGCTCTTCTATAAAAAGTAGAAGCAAAAACATAAAATTTACAAAACAAGCACTAAAGTATGTTTGAGAAGTGTTCATAAATGATTTAAATTAAAAATAAATAGTAAATAAGTGAGATAATATTTGTGAGTTCATGTCTTGGAAATTCGAATACAACTAAGAAGAGAGAAATAGATGTAGCAATAGCGAGTGATTTTAACAACTAGTGAAAGGGTTTTCAATTGATATGGTATGCAACGTGCGTATCAATTTCTTCAAAGGGATGACGTAATTTAAGGAAAAAGAATCTATAATAGGAGTGCAAGTACCAAAAAAAATGATTTTAATTTTATTGATTTCTCAATACTTGCAATAGAAGTCGAGGTAGTACGTTTCAGATAGGACATTTTCCATAGGGTAGGAACCGACCAAAGATATTGAGACTGCACTAAATTTTAATTTTAGAGAAAATGATGGGAACCAAAAATCTCATCTCGTATAGCATCCAATGTTATATATTCATAGTCAGTTGTCATTAGTTAAAAATTTGTATTTTAGTATACATATAATATTGAGTTGATGTGCACACGCTTGACACACTGTATTAGATTTTATTTTTATTTAGTTAACCTTGTAAAGTTAATATGCTATATGAGAGGGCGGGGTTTAGAACGTTTATATATTCACCATTTTATGAAAAAATAAAATAAAATTAGTGGAACCGAAAGGCGTAAGTTTACTTACGAGTAAATAAGAACTAAAAATTTCACTTACAAGTAAAAAATGACTTGTAGTTAAAAATTATTTATAAGTAAAAATTCACATAGAAGCAGAATAATTTAAATATAAGTAAAAACTTTAGTTACATTTAAAAATCACATTTTGAGGAAAATTGCTCGAGTGAAAATTCACTTATAAGTGTACAAACTTACTCAAGTTAAAATTTCACTATTAAGTAAAAATTACTTACAAGTAGAAAAATAACTTTTGACTTAAAAAATACTTAAGAGAAAAAAAGGACACTATTAAGTAAAAAAATTACTTTATAACTAAAACATGTATTTATGAATGGATTATGTATAAGTAAGGAAAATTATTTATAAACAAACTATAATATAATAATTTTTAAATTTTTTTTTTCAATACTCGTATGTCTTCTGATACGATGTAACATTAAACATCGTATTAGAACAATCCACTCAAATTCACCTTAATTTAGGGCGTGTTCGATAGATATTAAAATTGGATTAAAATTGAAAAACTAGCCGTTATTGTTGACTTTTATTAGACGAGTGAGTCTCAATAATGGTCATATTTTCAATGTTAATTGGATTTTAAGCTAGACCGATCAAGCCCTTCATCTTCTCTAATCATGTTATGTCTAATCTTATCTTATCTTCTCTATACTATACGATGTACTAAATCTATCATGTTCTCTCTATCTGTTACTCAAATGGCGATTCCAAACCAATGGAAAAAATATTTTTTGTACTTTATTTCTCATTATGCAGATTATTGAAGAAACAATAAGTTAATTTCACAAACGGTCATCGAAGTTATGTCAAAATCACAAAACGGTCACTGAAATTTAAAATTTGCACTAACGGTAACTGAAGTTACGTTTGGTTTTAGCAATGGTCATTGAAGGACCTTTTCATTTTAATTGGAACCTAATGGACCAAAATAGTTGAATGTTGAACCTTGAGGACCTAAATTGCAAATTTACAATAACCCCCCACCCGTCCCAACCTAAAATTTCATTTCTCTTTTTCTGTGATGTTTCACGAGAATGGAAGTCGATTTGGGAAGGAATTAAGGTGAAAATCATTGCTAATGTCATCCAAATATGGTGAAAACCCCTACCCCCACGAGAGAGAGAGAGAGAGAGAGAGAGAGAAGGAAAAATCGTTTCCGTGCAGCACGGAGACAGTCACCATGCTGCACAAAGACGATTTTTCCATTTTTTTTACAGCCTAAAATAAGGCACATTCTCATTTTTGTTAATTGTGATGAGTAATGCTATCACGTGCCCCTTAGGTCCTTGATGACCGCAATTGATGAGGAGAATGCAATTTGCTGCTGCTTTATTGATGAGTAGAATATGTAATTGGCACACTCGATAAATAATGCTATAATGGCATTTATATTATGAGTGAAATATCACTCAACGCATACAATAGAGTTCGTTATGAGTGAAATATCGCTCACAATATTCCACATTTCATAAAAAATGGAACAATGACAAAAACTAGATGGTCGCTATCAAAATAGAGTTAATTGTCAAAAAACATATGATAGACTTCAACCTCATCATTCGTCATCAAGTTATTCCATGCTTCGCTAAGAGTTGAGTTCGAACTTCCACCGGCTCTTGGCCTTTGCTAAGGTACATATACCTCCCTATTGAAATTGGTTCTCGATTTTGTCACGAAGGACGTCGAACCACCAAACCCTATTTGTCTAGCACCATCAGTAGGCTGGGAAAGAAAACGCCGCACTACACGTTGTTCATTTCCATCATTAGTTGGCTGTGAATTGGCAAATTGCCGTCCAACATTTGCTCTTGCGACTTCCCATTCCATCGGACCATTTATGTTCTACAATTCATGAAAAAGGATGTCGACCAACATAATAAATAAACAAAAATAGGATATACTCCTACAACTATAATATGGTTCATACCTCATTTGGTGTGTAGCTTGCATGCGAATCATGGTTCGAATGGTATCTTTTATTGTAACCCGTTTAACTGCAAATACTAAATTTCATTCTCTTCTTGCCATCACCTCTCCTATCAATCTTCTTCATTTTCTCTTTGGACAATACAGCTTCCTCAACCCCTTTTTAGCACTTTGTCTGCTTCTTGCCTCGTTTTTTGGTCACCCACGTTAGGGGTTTTTGGGGGTCGAAGTCACTCGAAGGCC